CTAATGTAATATAAATGTTTTAAGTTTATTAACATAATGTTATCATAATATATTTACTGTAGTATTTATTACACAAGACAAAAAGTAAAATCCTTCGCACTTGGCAAAATCGAAGCTTTGTTACTACTTATTCTCTCACAACCTCCGTCCATGTAAGCGGGTGAATTTACCGCACTTTCAGATTCCTTTAGTGACCGAAATCGAGAATATCTATTCCTTGCTGATGAGTCCTAATAAGGACAAAACCGGTCCAAGAATAACGTTATCTATGGTAAGCAAGGTCAAAGTTTGAATATTGAAATATGAATTTTTTTAACTTTGTTGTTTTCTTTGGATATAATTCAATGTCTGCTGCGGAATTAGCCAAAGAAGTAGTTGTTTTTCGAAGGGAAACGTTAAAGTTTGGATTTATTTCCCTTTTTTAATAAAATATTTGACTACCCAGACAGCACACCAAATCCTTTGGATATCTAATGAACATCCCAATATCCACTGAATGTCCAGTCCATGGTGGATATCTATTTTATATCCATGAAATGTAATTTATAGACATGCAAATGTCCATAAATAATAGTAATTATATAGCAAATTATTAAAAAATTACGCCATTGTGGCTAATAGTACCGTTCAGATATTTAAAATTAATTTTTTTAAGGTGTATTCTATATCCCATGGACATCCACTATAAATATAAATATATCAAAGTCTAAGCGCGGACGCAAACCATCGTGGATATCTACTAGATGTAATTTTTGATTTTGCTTCCTAAGTATAGATGGCGATACCACTTTCGTATCTACTCATGCTCAACCCGCCGTAAATGAGTTCGATCGAATTTTTTTGGCAATCACACTCTATTAGAGATTGGAGTCGAGAATTTCCATTTATTGCTGAAGAGTCCTAATAAGGATGACTTTCTCCTTAGTGCCCTTATAAGTGGGCAAAATCAAAGGCAGATTGTTGGAAATATTTTTTATCTCTATTTTCTTTCGAGGTTATTCAATAATCATTGGTTACTTATGAACCTCTACTAAAGATACCTATAAAATATTTTGCTGAATATCTGAATTCTATATCCATATTGGATATCCACAAAATATATTCTGTGGATATCTCTGGGATTTCTTGTATTGTCTGGAAGATACTCATTAGCTATTTTGCTGAATATCCATAGGATATCTTCTATATTCTGGATATAGACGGACATTTGGATATCCATATTAGATCCACGGAATATTTCTAATATCCTGTGGATATATTGGATATCCACAAAAGATATTCTGTGGATATCTCTGGGATTTGGTGTGTTGTCTGGGTACATGTTTCTTATAATAGTTTTAAATTTACTATATTCTTTAGTAGGAATATGCCCATAATCTCTTATTTATTTTGATTGATGATTCTTAATGTATGCTCAAGTGCATGCCATAGTACTTTGGAACGATATTACAAATATATTTGAATTACTTAGTTTTGAAGTTTTTAATAAAATACTTTCAAGATCTGAGCAATCAATATTCCCATGTAATAATTACATACAAAATGATAGTTTTTAATGTAAAAGTTCTGTTTAAATCACGTGATTCCAGATTTATTTGCTAGAAAATATATGACGGCCTTGGATTGTTGTATTCATTTCATATAAAATGGTATTTTAAATATATTCTGTTTTTATTTAATTTAAAATAAAGTTTCAAAAAAGACTGTTTTTTATTTTTAGAAATCTCTTAAAATTCATAAAAAAGAAAATTAAAATTCTATTACGAATTTTTAAGGTTATTAGTTCTACTGTGTAAGTAAATCTTTAATATTTTCGAATTATGTTTAAATGTGTAGTCCTATCCTGTACACTTCAATATACAATCAATGCGCAAGTGCGTGGGTCGCTTTTTTTAAAGATGGCCGCCTTCAATTCTACGTGCCTGATGAAAATGACATTTCCTATCTCCTTTATCGATATCTGTGTCTGCTTCAATTTTCACTTTTACATATGAATTGTCATATTTTCTTGTTTAGTGTTCTATTTTTCTTTTTTTCTTATTAGTATTTAAAAATATTTTTTAAAAAATACTATTGTAGGTATTACATGACTTTTTTAACTAGTTTGTTAAACTTTATGTAGCACTTCCTTTATGGAAATAGTCAAGGTGAGTCAAGGTCATTGTTTAATTTTCTTTTGTGTTTTTTTCTGTTATTTTATATATGTTAACGTCCGTTCATACTTTTATAATTGTTTTTATTACAACTGACTCCTTGACATTCCATTTAGGTGTGCCTGATGATGAAGTAATAGCTTCGAAACCGGTCGCCAATTAAAATTGACTTGTGAGAAATAAAGGACCTTTTCTTTAACCCCTTATACTTAAATGTCGTTTAGTTGCAACTTGCAAGGTGCAGTGTGAATTCTAGTGTGATCATGGAAAATTTGGAAGGGCCGCGTAAACGACAAAAAATCGGTCCTTTAACAGCTAATGAAAAAACATTAATATTTAATTGTTTTAAATCATTTACAGACAAACATTTATGTAAAAGTGTTGATAACACAGTGGAATTAGTTAGTAGTACGCTTGGTGTTGGGAAATCTACGATTTACAGAGTTGTTAAAGAAGAGAAATGTGGCAAGTTTCAAACAGCACGTAAAGCTCCAGGAAAACCAAAATTTCAATTAGAAAATCTTTTGAAAGAAAGACTTCGAAGGAAAGTGCATGCGTTCTTCTTTAGAAAAGAATAGGGCTGTTACGGAATAGCTTTTTGACGTATCTAGTACGACCTGTGCCTGTTCCAAGTAGATACCTATTCCAAATACCTATTCCCGTTACAAGCTATTCCAAAATTTTATGACTGAATATTGTTGACGCTTGGCGCATATTCAGTAGGAAGTAGGTGAATCCCTGAATCTAATGAATCTCATAAGCATAATATATAATATCGATCGATATTGTATTGAACTTAAAGGGTGCTGTTGTTTATTTACATAATATTAATTAAATTATTGTTCATTATGAATAAACGTTCGAGTGTAGTGTGGAATTTTTTTTTCGGTGGTAGATGACAAAAAACTAATTGCAAAATGTGTGCAAAACAGTAATTTCTTATAAAAAAAAAACACCTAGGAAAGCACCTTACAGTACAATTTCAATTACTCTGAATAATTTTTAAAATTTCACTAGTTCGTAAATATTCTCCTGTCTTATAAACATATTATAATTCCTAAAAAAAAAAATACCTACAATCAAGAGAGTTGAAACATCAAACGAAACCTATTACCAAAATACTGAATAGGTACACGAACGTATTACAAGTTGCCTGACTAATCCCATATCATTCCGTTTCAGTTACAACGCGCGATAGCATCCAGTGACACAAGTAATAGGTTTGTGTGAAATTTGGTAACAGGTACGCGGAATAGGCAGGAGATACCTATTCCAAAGTAACAGGTCCAGTTCCATTGTAACAGCCCTAGAAAAGAATTTCCGACAGTAGACAAAGTTCTTGCCACGGTTCGAGATGATAAAGATTACCCTGAAATGAGTCGAAGCAAACTATGGAAACTTTAAAAAAAAATAGGTTTTCTATGGAAAAAGCATTCCAGAAAGTCTATTTTAATAGAAAGAAGCGATATTGTAGTATGGAGAAGAAATTACCTAAGGACTATAAAAGAAATGAGAAACCAAAGAAGAAATATATTTTATTTAGATGAAACATGGATCACCGAGGGACATAAACCAAATAAATTTTGGCAAGATGAAACTGTTACAAGTCGAAGACAGGCTTTTTTAAATAATTTATCTACTGATTTAAATCCACCATCAGGAAAGGGGCGCAGACTAATAATAGTACACATCGGTAGTTCAAACGGTTTTGTTTAAGGTGGTTTATTAACTTTTGAATCTACTCGTACCGGTGACTACCATGAAGACATGAATGCTAACGTCTTTAAAGAGTGGTTCGAACAAATTATAGATCTTCTTCCTCAGAACTGTATAATAGTAATGGATAATGCAAGTTATCACTCGAGACTTATAGAAAAAATGCCCACAACCAAGTGGTTAAAAAAATATTTACAGAATTGGCTAAATTCAAAGAATATTAAGTTCCATCCCGGTTCTGTGAGAAAAGAACTGTATCATTTGTGTTCCCTTCATAAAGAGAAATTCAAAAAATATGAAATTGATGAAATTGCAAAAAATCGTGGGATGACCACCATATCATTGCGAAGTAAACCCGATTGAACTGATATGGGCACAGATAAAGGGAGAAGTTTCAAGAAAAAATAATTCTTTTAAAATGAGTGATGTTAAACAGTTGTTTTTGGAGGCTGTAAATAATGTAAAGCCTGAAAACTGGGAAAAGGCAGAGTAAATCATACGATTAAAGAAGAAGAGAAAATGTGGAAGTTGGACAATATTACTGATGAAATGATCGAGCCACTCATTGTAAATATTGGTTGCGACAGTTCATCTTCTGATTTCGATTCTGATTTGGATTTGTAGGTAAGAAGTAGTTTTTATATTAAAATTATTATTTATGAACGTAACGTTGTTTAAAAGTCAAAGTTTAAACCCTTATACCTACATAACCCGTTTGACACAATGTTCTTAACATACCTTGTGGAAAAATAAAACATTTTATAAAAAATTGCACTTTTTTACCTTCAGTTGTTTAGAAGTTTAATTAAGTGAAAATATAAGTGTATACTCGAGGAATAACTTCAAAAAATATTTTAACTTCTACTAAAAGAAGTGGTACGCCTATGGATTACGAACGCTTTATTATTTTAATACTCTCTCATACATAAAAATAGACTATAACTGGTTTGATCCGGAATTTCTTTCAGTCTGCGAAAATAGAAATACATGACCAGTGAATCTACCGTATTATTCTTATACCGTGATATTACAACTAATATCTCTCAGTGAATCATTACTACGTACTATGATTTTGTGTAAACAAAAGAAAAGTCATGTTTTATATTTTTTACAATTTACTTCATGTAAATGCTTGCTTATAAAAAATAAACTACAAAAAATATCAAAAATATTTTTTTTTTCTAAAAAGTGTACCAACCCGGTCTCCCCTACCTTTCCAAAGACCTATTAAGACTAAAATGTTTCGAAAACATTTCACACTCAACGGTTTTTGTCAAGTGTGAATGTTTAAGTGCCTGTTTAAACCGATTTTAACTGTAAACCGTTTCGCACTTGAACGGTTTTATTCTAGTGTGAATTTTTAAGTGCTTTTTTAAGTTTCCGTTTTCAACAAAATGTTTCGAACATATTTCACACTTATACGGTTTTTCTCCAATGTGATATTTTAAGTGCCTTTTCAAGTTTTCTTTTTCAACAAACCGTTTCGAACATATTTCACACTTATACGGTTTTTCTCCAATGTGAATTTTTAAGTGCCTGTTTAAACCGATTTTAACTGTAAACCGTTTCGAACATGTTTCGCACTTGAACGGTTTTATTCTAGTGTGAATTTTTAAGTGGTTTTTCAAGTTTCCGTTTTCAACAAACTGTTTCGAACATATTTCACACTTATACGGTTTTTCTCCAATGTGATATTTTAAGTGCCTTTTCAAGCTTTCTTTTTCAACAAACCGTTTCGAACATATTTCACACTTATACGGTTTTTCTCCAATGTGAATTCTTAAGTGCCTGTTTAAACCATTTTTAACTGTAAACCGTTTCGAACATGTTTCGCACTTGAACGGTTTTATTTTAGTGTGAATTTGTAAGTGCTTTTTCAAGTTTCCGTTTTCAAAAAACTGTTTTGAACATATTTCACACTTATACGGTTTTTCTCCAATATGAATTTTTAAGTGCCTTTTCAAGCTTTCTTTTTCAACAAACCGCTTCGAACATATTTCACACTTATACGGTTTTTCTCCAATGTGAATTTTTAAGTGCCTGTTTAAACCGAATTTAACTGTAAACCGTTTCGAACATGTTTCGCACTTGAACGGTTTTATTCTAGTGTGAATTTTTAAGTGGTTTTTCAAGTTTCCGTTTTCAACAAACTGTTTCGAACATATTTCACACTTATACGGTTTTTCTCCAATGTGATATTTTAAGTGCCTTTTCAAGCTTTCTTTTCCAACAAACCGTTTCGAACATATTTCACACTTATACGGTTTTTCTCCAATGTGAATTTTTAAGTGACTGTTTAAAGCGCCTTTTTCTATAAACTGTTTCGAACATGTTTCGCACTTGAACGCTTTTATTCTAGTGTGAATTTGTAAGTGCTTTTTCAAGTTTCCGTTTTCAACAAACTGTTTCGAACATATTTCACACTTATACGATTTTTCTCCAATGTGATATTTTAAGTGCCTTTTCAAGCTTTCTTTTTCAACAAACCGTTTCGAACATATTGCACACTTATACGGTTTTTCTCCAATGTGAATTTTTAAGTGCTTGTTTAAAGCGCCTTTTTCTATAAACTGTTTCGAACATATTTCACACATAAAAGGTTTTTTTCCAGCGTGAATTTTTAAGTGACTCTTAAAATGGGCTTTCTCGCTAAACCGTTTAGAACATATTTCATACTTAAACAGTTTTTCTCCAGTGTGAGTTTTTAAATGTCTTTTTAAATTGCCTTTCTGGACAAACTCTTTTGAACATATTTCACACTTATGCGGTTTTTCTCCGGTATGATTTTTTAAGTGGATATTTAAATTACCTTTTTGGGAAAAATGTTTCCAACATATGGCGCACTTAAACAGTTTTTCTCCAGTGTGAGTTTTTAAATGCTTTTTTAAATCGCCTTTCTGGACAAACCCTTTTGAACATGTTTCGCACTTGAACGGTTTTACTCCAGTGTGAATATGTAAGTGGCTTTTCAAGTTTGCTTTTTCAACAAACTCTTTCGAACATATTTCACATTTATACAGTTTTTCTCCAATGTGATATTTTAAGTGCCTTTTCAAGCTTCCCTTTTCAACAAACTGTTTAGAACATATTTCACACTTGAAAGTTCTTTCTTCAGAGTTAATTTTTAAGTGCCTTTTCAAATTACAACTATTGTCAAACTGTTTCAAACATGTTCCACATTTAAAAAAGTTTATTCCAGTGTGTATTTTCAAATGATTACTTAATTTTCTTTTGGTTGTAATTTCACACTTTTTTTCATTGGAATGAGAGATTATATATGCTGAAGATGGATCTTTGAATATACTACGACAATTTTTATGTTGTTTAAATTTTCGCTTATAAATTTTTGACACTTTCTTTACAAAATGAACAACAAAATAATGAATAATCAACTGTAACTTAGTAAGAAAAAAATGTCCGCAATAGTAACAAGTTTCATAACATCTTCCATACTGGGCGGTGAACAGGTTTTTTCTGGACAACCTGAAAACTGAAACGGAAAGTATATTAATACGACATTACTAATAGTACAGGATTCGAAGTAAGGTCGACCTTCACCCATCTGTTTAACGGATGAATAGTATTTTAAATCAAATGTAATATATTAAGTAATAGGTTTGTTCCAACACGATAGGAAACCGTCACCATACCGTAACGGTTAGGGTAATTCCGGTAGAGATGCCGGTATGGGAGAGTTGCCGATTACTTATATTGTCACGTTAAGTGGTTTGGTGGGCAAACCAATTAATCGTGAAGTACGCCACTGCGTATTTCGAATCGCCCAAAGGATCTTCCAGTCGAGGAAGATCTTTGTGCCACCAGAAAATACTCACTGGAGAACCTTTCTTATGATTTATTGTGTTTGGCTTGGCTTTACGCTACTGGGGAAGGAATAAAAGTCACTGCATAAAAAACTACAAATCTTTAATAAATACAAACTAAAATCCTCTGAATTACCCAGAAATCCCCAATATTATAATACACCCCAAATATACAATATATACACTACAAAGACTTTAGAGAACCAACTGGTTACTTTTCTCAGAAATACCTTTTTTATTTTATTTTACTTTTATTAGATTTATAAAATACTCTTACCACATGCTTTAACAGGAAGCTTGAATGTCACGACTTTTTATTTTTATTACTGTAATAGAGCAGAGTATTACCTACTGCCGATTTATGTCACAGCCGAAGAACTTATAGCCTCGGTTGTACCAAAAATGTTGTTATTTTTTGTTTTGTCAATTTGGCTAGCTGACCCCAACATTGTTTTGAAATTGTAGAATCAGCAAAACCGAATTGAGTGCTTTGTTTACTTTCAACATAAAATAAAGTTTTTAATTACTAGACGAAAAGATTGTTATTGTTTTAAATAACTTTAAATGTAATATTAAACACAAATTGGAATTGAATCGAAATTAAAAAGATTAAAATAAAATTATATTTTTGAAAATGGCTTAATAAAATTTGAGTTGAAATATATTTTTGGAAAGTACTTTATTTTATCTTTAATAAA